ACTATGCAGCAAAACCCTCTGGAAATTTCAGTGCGGAATGATTGCCCTCTATGCAGAGTATTAATAACTGCTTACAATCTGCCAGAACTTGTGTCAAGTGCTTTGTAGGCATTCTTTCACGAAATCGTCACAAAATACTAGGAAGCACCAGTTTCGCAAACCCAGTGAAGCAACCTGAATCAAGTAAGTGAATTATTAAAAAAATTTTACAGAGATGGAAATCTGAAAGTTTAGAGAGGTTTAGTCATTGGCTCAGGGTCACACAATAAGAAGTGACAAAATGAAGCCTAGACCCCAGGACTGGTTGTGGCAGAGCCTCTGAACAATTCAGATGCTATTAATGAATTCAAAACATATACATAATAACTTATTGCCAAATTTCAATTTTAACATTTATTTGTATTAAGAGAAACAGGAAGAAGATATTAGAGTGGCAATACCTAGAATTGGAAAGTTCCAACTCATGCGGTTAACTAAGATAATGGCTCGGACAGGAAGGCGTTGTCAAATATTTGAAAGAAAATGACTCAAAGTAGATGTCAAAACTTGGATGGTTATTGAAAAAAAGTAACTTCCGCAGATCAGACACCACCGTGGGAGAGGCATAAAATGGTATGTTAAATAGTTTTTTTTTTATTTTTTTGGTGGATAGTTTTAAGTCCTTTCAGTAACAAAAGGGAATATAAATTAAATTGATAAGTGAAATGACTCTGCCTTTTATACTTACTCTAAGGCAGTAAGCAGCTATTTCACTGGAAAATAAAAATAAAAGCCATTTTATAGTTGGGCTTGAAAATTTTATTTATTTGTCACACAACTTTGATAGAATAAAAGAATGCCAGATAAATTGCTTATAAGCTTATTGCATCCAAGCTTCAATTTTTAAAATTTATGATTCATATATATAATTCTTAATATCCTTCTATGCATAAGTTCAAATGAAACATTTACTGAACCTGATTATATAATAATATAATGCTGAGTGACTCTTTATGGAATGAATGAAAGAATAAATGGCATAGCAGGTAAATTAGATATTTAAGTTATTTTTTTCTATAATCAGTATGAAGTGTTTCCACACAGCTTTAAAATTAGTATCTATATATATATACATATTTTTATTTTTATTTTTTTTTTTTAATTTTTTTTTTCAACGTTTATTTATTTTTGGGACAGAGAGAGACAGAGCATGAATGGGGGAGGGGCAGAGAGAGAGGGAGACACAGAATCAGAAACAGGCTCCAGGCTCTGAGCCATCAGCCCAGAGCCCGACGCGGGGCTCGAACTCACGGACTGCGAGATCGTGACCTGGCTGAAGTCGGACGCTTACCCGACTGCGCCACCCAGGCGCCCCAATATATATATATATACATATTTTTAATAATCAATTCAAAAGAGTTTTGCATGAAGTAGGATCATTAAATGTAATGGCGATGTAATTTTTACTTTTTTTGTGAGTTCACTATAAATTCTTAAAAGAAATGCACCTTGGGGAGCCTGGGTGGTCAGTCTGTTAAGTGACCTACTCTTGATTTCCACTCAGGTCATGATCTTATGGTCCCTGAGATGCAGCCCTGCATGGGGCTCTGCACTGACAGCACGAAGCATGTTTGGGATTCTCTCCCTCTCTCTCTCTGCACCTCCCCCCCCTCTCAAAATAAAAATAAATAAACAAAAAAAGAAATGCACCTCTTGAAAATATACTTTTTTCCTGATAACTATATGAATATAATTGAAAAAATATAAAGTAGAAATTTTTTAATTACCTATAATCACATATATTAGACCTAAATATGTATTTAATTTCATAAACCTTCAAGTCCCAATTATTCCAGGCTGTGAAATTTGAAAACTTATGCAAGGTTGCCACATTGTGGTCAAAGTTGAGAATAGCAAGCTAAAATCAAAGCATCGTCACTGATTTGACATTGAATAAAATTTCTCATTGAAACTAAATTGGAAAATACAAACTTAGTTTCTGGAAATGAAAACCTTAAATTTTGGTTTACATATTCATTCTTCATTAATTAGGACTTCTGATATTAATTTTTAGCAATTAAATTTATTAAAACGAATGATGATGACATCGGTTTTGATAGCTATGGAAACATTTACATTTGAATTTTAAACTCACAGGGTGCCTCTAATTGATTTTGGATCAGTGCCTGTGTTTATCTTATTCAGTGTTTTATTCACCCTAGTGTCTATCTCTGTTCCTGCTTTTGGTATGTGCCCAGTACAATATTTTAAATGAACAAAAATGATATTCACTAATTAAAATGCTGCCAGAATCAAATAAAATATCAACACATTATTTAAGACCCCCCCCCAAATGATGTACTGACATATTTGCCCATGCAATTTGAATAATCAACAAATGCAGTCAGCAATGTCCCTTCCTTTGTATTCCCTCACTACGCTTGAGGTAGGAAGGGCCACTCCTTCTGACGTGGTCTGTCAATGCATCCAGCCGCAATTACCAGTCATTAGCATGATCTACCAAGAGGTGGGTCAAACACATATGGTGTTTTTACTCAAACTTCATGTCGTACATTTAGCAGTGAAGTCTGACTTTGAAGTTGGCTTTAAAAGAGAAGGAAGATGCAAGGGAAGGTTTTATAGGTCTTAGGTTCAAAAGACAGAATTAAATTTAATAATTTATTTTAAAATAAATTTCTTATCTAGGTTTTTTTAATTATTTAGAGAACTGAATCAGCCTGTCCATCTAATGTGCTCCAAATGTGTATTTGATATTTTTACTCAATGAAGTTACATATTTAGCTAGTGAATATGTGCTCTACCAGTGGTTATGACTTGGTGGAATAAAGCTGAAGCAGGGTTGGTGAGACAAAGCGTGGCCTGCAGTGACTTGTGCTCTGGATTAGCTGAGGGACAAGCACATGAACTTCTGTGGCTGTCATCTGCAAAAGGAGTCCAGTAAGTAATGACCAAAGTCGTTTATGTTTTTATGATCCATTTTATTATTTATTTCTTAACTATTATTCCAGTTATTTCTTTATTTTCCTCTCTTTTTAAGCTACCAGGCTCTTTTTCCTTTCTCCTTTCCTTCTTATCCCTGTCTCTTTCCTTCCTTTTCTCCTTTATTCCTTTCTCTTTTTTTTTTGAAATATTTATTCACCTCAACAAACATAATGTAACTATCATTTTAAAGTACATAAAGAAACTCCATGTATGAAGTTCCAGCAAATTCAAAAGTCTCTTTCTTTTAAGTAAGATATTTGTTTAGCTCATTTTTCCCCTTAAAATGAGTGAAAACTGAGTAGCATTCACCTTACTTGCAAAATTAAACACAATTTGAGGAAATTTACTAAAGATATCAGTGCTAATTTTACTCATGTTGGGAACAGGTGTGAGTAAGCATACCAAAATATTTTTCAGAAACATAAGGAGAGATATCATATAAGGAGTATAATGTTAAAATAGTCCCCTGTTGTTATTTTCTAAAGTGTAAGTTTTGTTCTGAAAATGAAAGACAATCAGCAGGTTTACAGTAAATTTCTACTCATAGCTAGAGCTGTTAGATTTGCAGTTAATACGTAGAAAGCATACATAGTGATTATTGCATTATTAGTAGTTTTATGAATCTATCTAATAAGAATTTAAGAAGAAATGTTTTCATCTAGTTAAAATCAGTCTCACTCAACCTGGTTGAATGCTTGTTTGGTTTTTTAAAGTGTAAAGTTCTAGAATTTTTTTAAAAGCTAGACAATTTGAAAGCATGCTATTATATGTACATATCAATCTTAAGATTTCATAGGACTTTAAAAATCCCACATATTCCATGGAGTTAATTCAAACTTTTATTTATATATTGATAATTAACCTCTAAAATTAAAATTAGTTTTCTTCACTAAGCATATGTTCTAAAGAGGTTTTTAGGTTCCTTAACAATAGCATTTCTAGGAACAGACAGGAACAGTGGCCAATTTATCTTTTATATATAACTGACCCTTGGACAATACGGGGGTTGGGGGCACTATACCCCTGCACAGTTGAAAATCCATTATAGCTTTGACTCCCCAAAAACTTAACCAGTAAGAGCCATCCATTGACCAGAAACTTTAGTAATTGTTAAACAGTCAATTAACACATATTTTGTATGTTGTATGTATCATATACTGTATTCCTATTATAAAGCAAGATAGAGAAAAGAAAATGCTATGAAGAAAATCATAAGGAAGAGAAAATACATTTATGTACTGTACTTCTTGAAAACATCCACGTGTAATTGGACCTAGCAGTTCAGACCCCATGTGGTTCAAGGGTCAACTGTTCGCTGTAACATAGATAGTCCTATCTTGCACCAGCAATGTTCCTATGCAAGTCAGTATTCCTGCATTACTTACCAGTCCTTTCCCTTTATTTTCTTTATTTCTACACAGGGACACCACTATTTGTACTTATAGGACTAGTGTCATGTATGATTTCCTATTCTTAAAATACAGCCATTTAACCCTTCTAAAAATCACGTGACTATTTCCTCAAACCCTCCCATATACATATTTTGCATATTTCTTACCCTCAAAGAATAAGAGAAATGCCTTAAAGTCATCATTATAATAAAGGATAAGCTCTATGCTCTTACCTTATTTAAAATTATTATGAAGGCACTACAACCAAGAGTACAGATACAATGAGGTATAGTACACAGCAATATCAAAATGATATTGTAATGAAAGGAAAAATGAACCTAAAGCCCAATGAATATGTATTGATTAATATCTCTACCAGAATACTTACAGCAAGCCATTTTTGAAAAGGTTCAAGAGTGCTACAGGTAATATAAGTAAACCATGAAAAGCTTTTTTTTTTCTTTTTCTTTTTCTTTTTCTTTTTCTTTTTCTTTCTTTCTTTCTTTCTTTTTTTTTTTTTTTTTGCTTGTTTTTCAGTCTCGTATGAATGATTAGAGTAAAAGGAATTGCAGTGCAGACACATAGGGGTCAATGGAATGTTAATAAGATGAAACTTAAAACACATACCATAAAATTCCGCTGGTAATGAATGTTCTCTTTGTTAAAATCGATCACATAGCCATTGAAGGACCAAATAAATGTGAGATCCAGGGCGGGATCAAAGGACGCAGCACACTGCATGGTAGCATTTTCTCCAACAGTAATATCAGCATTAATTGGGGCCAATATAATTCGCGTGGGATCTACACATTGGAAAAAAAAGAATAAAGCACAATTCAAGAAAACATTAGATATCATATTATCTGGCAGTTTCAAAGAATAAAAGGTGCTACATTTTTATTTCTCTGAACAAAGGGAGAAAGATGTTTTCAGATTCAAATTCTAGGAACAATTTCATTAAGCAAGAGATTTGCCCAATAGGCTTTTGAAATTGGAAACTTATCAATACATGGACTGTCTTTGTGAATCATGTCTTATACTATATTAGAAACTAAGTACTATGAAACTAGAAAAAATTAATATTGATCAAATGGTTTCTTACCTGTAATAACAAGAGTGCCAGTGTTATTAGCCCTCCCTCTATTATTTTCTGCAAAGCATGTATAGATACCTCCATCATTTCTTGTAATGTTATTTATTTCCAAGCTGCCGTCTTCCCAAATGAGTATTCTATTCAAATGAGAGAAACACATTCTTCACAAAACTAATTTAATAAACATTTTACTATTCTGTCTTAGATTACAAACACTAGCTTTTGATCATTACAATTTATACAAATTACTCGACAGTAACATTTTCTAAAGATGAAACATTCTAGACTTTGTTTATACTATTTTTTCCAGCATTGACCAATTGCTTTAGAAAGCCATCTTCATCTTTTTCTTGGACTATTGCAGTAGTCTCTAACCGGCCTCCTGCTTCTATCCTTGCCTGTCTCTAGTCTCTTTTCCACATGTCAGTCAGACATGAAGACATAAGTGACATAAGTCACACCATGTCACTCTTCCGCTCAGTGAGATCACTCTGCAGCTCAGCTCCCTCCAGTGATTTTTCCATCTCACTCATAGTAAGAGACACAGTCCTTTGATTGCCCTTTTAGTCCCTGGGCAATCTCAAAGCTTTTGCACATTGGAACCTTCAACAAAGCTTTGCTTAATAATTCTAGTTAGCATTGCATGCTGCTGTCCAGGTACCCTCTCCAACCCATCCCTCCTCTAAGATTTTCTCTCCTAATATTCATGCCATCACACATACTTCAGTTACTTATTAATCTATCCTTCCAATAGCTGGTAACATTCCCATGCCAGGAATTTTTTATCTGCTTTGCTTGTGGCCCTGTCTCCAGCAGGTAATACATCTGTCCATTCATTCATTCATTCATTCATTGGAAAAAGAAAATCTCTGTGCCAGGAATTTAGAAGAATAAGACACTAATTACTGATTAGGAAGTCAATCAACCTTTTCTTGAATGAATGTACTTCATGGAGTTTAATTGAAGCAAATGGTTTTTCATACACTGCCATAAAATGACTTAAAAACTGCTGTGGAACAGCCTCAAACCAGTCAAACCAGTCATAGGCCTGAAATGAATGAGTCCAGGTCTTCCAGAAATGTGACCTCAGGACTTCAATTTGGACTTTTTAAAAAATATATATAATTTATTGTCAAATTGGTTTCCATACAACACCCAGTGCTCATCCCATTAAGTGTCCTCCTCCATGCTCATCACCCACTTTCCCCTCTCCCCCAACCCCCATCAACCCTCAGTTGTTCTCAGTCCTTAACAGTCTCTTATGGTTTGGCTGCCTCCCTCTCTGTAACTTTTTTTCCGCCTTCCCCTCCCCCCCATCTTCTGTTAAGTTTCTCAGGATCCGCATATGAGTGAAGACATATGGTATCTGTCTTCCTCTGCCTGACTTATTTCACTTAGCATAATACCCTCCAGTTCCATCCATGTTGCTGCAAATGGCCAGATTTCATTTTTTTCTCATTGCCAAGTAGTATTCCATCATATGTGTAAACCACATCTTCTTTATCCATTCGTCAGTTGATGAACATTTAGGCTTTTTCCATAATTTGGCTATTGTTGAAAGTGCTGCTATAAACATTGGGGTAACATGTGCCCCTATTCAACTCAGACTTTAAAGTTAGCACAGACTATCATTTCCACAGCTACAGAGGAATGCAAAAATATTTTTTAGTAATGTTTAAAGAAGGATATTCTAAAACCTTCCTTATTAACAGCTTCTGTAACAGATTAATTTTTAGGAAAGTCTTCTTTCAATGGAACCTAAATCTTTCATACTAACAACCTAAACCTATTCCCTCTGTCTGCCTCTTCCTCAGAGACTAGAGACTATAAAAATTCATTATATATAACTATATTGTATTTAACTTGTATATTTATTTAAAAATTTTACTGTGCTATATAATACTTTGCATTTTGATTCAATATTGAATTGCCTATCACTAGATTTTCACTTTCCTGAATGTACCATTCCAAAAACATTAATTTATCTCTGAAGCTTGGTAGAGCACATGCCAACAATTATCCATCTATTCCACCTTAAGGGTGGAGCTTGATAAAGCAAAAACACCATATATCTACCTTATTAAGAAAATGCCAAATTTTCTTAATGCATTTCCACATAAGAAAATGCCAAAAAATTCCACCAATAATACATTCCAAGACTTCCTTTTGCCTCTTTATCCAGTTCCAACTTAAATTTATTTCAGAATACTTTCTTTTCCTTGAAGAGAAACTGTAGTTTCAAAATAATATAAACTTAAAAGTAACTATTTGGTATGCAGAAGCTTTGGCATGTGCCTCTAAGTTCTCCACTGTAAGAAGTATAATGGATCCACACAGCTGTTGCACTCAGAAATCCATCACTGTGTATGAGCCAAGGCTATACTTTCCAAAGGCTGGTCTCAGCCAATGACAACCTGAGAGGAATGTAAAGGCAGACCTGTTTCTAGGAGACATCAGATTGTTAGGGGCAGTTTGAGCTGAAGGACTCTCCAGTGGCCTCACCATACTCAGATCTGCCCTGAAATCTGAGTCGTTTCCTTGGGCCTTCCTTCCTGCCCTCCCTTTCTCCTTCATCTGGAATCAGTCCTGCATCTTGGTCAGATGGTTGTCCAAACCTCTACCCAGTGCCCTCTCTATTTTCCCATGTAGGCACTGCCATTAATAAATCTCCTGAATACTTACTCCTCTATTGGCACCTGCTTCTCCAGAATCATATTAACAAGGACCAACATTAATGTGCCACACTTTTTTTTCACTAAAATCTAATGTGAGCCCTTAGCCAATGTTCCACTGAACTATCATTTAATTATTTTGCAAATGAAGCTATGAAAATTATAGCCAATATGCAATGGAAAGAACAACAGCAATCATTCTTTCTAGAATCCACACTATTATTCTGTTTTCTCACATTAGCTCTCAGTGAACCTTTAGTATATCCAAAGTATATTCTTCTTTATGTCACTCATTTCACCTATTATTTCAGGCACTTATTTCATGACACTAAAATTAATTTTTGGTAAGGATTACCATGGTAAGTTAACTTGATTTTTCTCTAATAATGGTCCCTATTTTTTTAATACATTTTTTGGTTTATTTATTTATTTTAACAGAGACAGCATGAGTATGGGAGGGGCAGAGACAGAAGGGGAGAGAGAGAGAGAGAGAGAGAGAGAGAAGCAGAGAGAGAGAGAGAGAGAGAGAGAGAGAGAGAGAGAGAATCCCAAGCAACTCTGCACTTCCAACTCAGAGCCTGATGCAGGCTTCAAACTCATGAAACCCGAGTTGAAACCAAGAGTCGGACCCTTAACTCACTGAGCCACCCAGGAGCCCCTAATGGTCCCCATTCTTAAATCAATGCAGATTAAACTCTAGTGATCTTATCCTTATTTTCAGATAATCTGATATGGATAAGCAGTCCAATAAACTAGGAACTACTTGGTCTTTAATAAATTAGTCACTCACTTTTGCCAAAATTACCTCAGGATAACCTTCATTTTACTTGTTAATTGCTAAAGAATACTAACTCTAGAGAAGAAAAGAATTTTGGAGTTGTTCTCACATAAATGGCTCAGATAAAGATCACTTTAGAGCTGATAGCAGTCCATTAAATATGAAATGAACAACTACAAATAAATTCTGTTGTAAACTGTATATCATTTAGCTCCAAGTAAAATCATACAATTGAGAACCTAATTACAATTTATCAAGATTTATGTTTCCTCTCTACTGATAGGAAATATCACATAAACCATTTTACAAGCTACTAATCAAGTGTGGCTAACTGTAATGTGGAGCCATTTTCTGTGGTTTATTAATCAGAATGAGATTACAGTTATGTTGAAAGACAGTTATTCAGGTGCTCCTTGAATATTATTTTTAAACAGAAATGTTTTATTTCTCTAAAACCAATTTATTAGTTGAATTTTTCTTAATGCATACTATCTTACCACATTGAACTTTATTTTTATGTAAAATACTGTATCTATTATAAAATGGTGCTTATAATCTGAAAAATTAATGGATTAAAGCAGTGAGCAAAAATTGGATTTATAGAGTCTTTTGTCAAGAAGTAATACAACTTGATTCAAAGACTAAAAATATTCTGACAAGATTAAAATGGTAAGATTTTAGGAGCTAGAACACATGTTGATATTTAGGAAAATATCCTTTTTCTTTTCCTTTTTTGAACACATGTTGATATTTAGGAAAAACAAGGCCGTGAAACCAGGTTCTGAGAAATCCTTGGTCAGAAAGGCTCATGACATTGGTCCTCATCAGAATCAGAGCAAGATTTTTTTCATTTAGGGGAGAAAGTTAGTGGTGGGGGTGGGGAGGCTGAGGGGGATGCTGTGCCACAAGTTTATTGCAGGGGTAACTAAGTACCTAGATAAGGGACTTACCCTTTGGTCACAGTCTCTGCATTGCTCACTGTCTGATCATTAATGTTTTGGCAGAAAATTGAACAAATTAATTCTTCCTTTAACACTGATTCTGCTAGCATCATTTTGCTAAGGTCTTAATAAATCTTAGTCAAATCTATTCATTTTAAAATGAACGTGCTGTGTTGGCATATGTTCATTCCATGTCAATATGACCCAAGTTGAAGTTTCAGTTTGGAGATTATCAACATACTTTCAAAAGTTTACTTTAACCGTTCCAGGCTTCAGATACATCAAAATAGAGATAATAATACCCATCTTACCTACTTTTTAAATTATTATTGTGGAGAAGATCTGTCTTATGCACTTTTGCTAGAATATTCTTTTTGAATGCAAAAAGTACATTTTTTTCTCCTTTATTTAAGTCTTTAACAGATTTGGTTACTCAAAGATGGGGTCCAAGCCCCCCATGTAACGGATCCATGTAAGGATTACTACACCTTATCTCTTAAAACTCTTCTCCACTTTCTCCTAAGGGAAAACCTCAGAAACCTAAGAATTCTTAAATTCTTCACCATCCTATACTCTCTGCCTCAGAGCCCTTGTACATACTCCTTTCATTGCCTATAATATTTCTTTTTCCCCCACTTTCACATCCCATTTTCTATCCTGACTTTCTTTTCTCCATACTCAATATTACCTTATCTTCTTCTAGTACATTTATAGAAACCATTCAGTGTGGCTTTTAAATAAATATTATGAAGTCACATGCTTTATATTTTATCCTAAAGCTACCAAAACATTGGTAATCATTTACTTGTTAAGAAGGTGAGAAATTCCAATTTATTTTAAAAGGTGGGAAGGGGTGATTTATTCTTTGAAATGTACCTTTATATTTTTTCTACTGAAATATTTAATGGGCTAACTTCATAAAACTAAACCAAATATAAATGGATACAGAAGTCCTTGTTAGGGGAAAAGTAAGTCAGAGATCCTATTTTATTTCCCATTGTTCATTTTTCCCCCCCTGAGGACTTGGGCAATTTACCAAAAGTCCCTGAGTCTCAATTTTCTAAATTTCTTATAAATTACAGAAGCCTAAAAATTGAACCTTGATTATCACAGATAATAACAGTGAAGGGTAAGTATTTCTTACTTTTGTTTATCTTAGAATTACAGTGCCTTCTGCAGAGGAAAGTTAGAACAATCAACATTTACATAAGTCTTCTTTAAAGTTCTCTTTAAATGAACTTGGCCAAATAGTTCATTGCAATTGGATTTCCAGTTTCCGAACTGACCTGCTGCTATTGACGAGCCACTCTGTCCCTTTACTCCATGAGAATTTTGGCTTGGGTGCTGCTTTAGGTTTGCATTCAATTATGACCCTTCCTCCCTTAGCAGCTAAGATCTTTTTCTTCATAGGATTCATTTCAAAAGTTGGAGCCAAAGCTAAAAGGAAACAAATGATTATTTTTCTCTTTCACTACAAAGGGAAAATAAAACATTTCTTCTATAGCATCTTTTATTCTTTTGATTAATAATCAACAGAAAACATTAATCCCACCAAATATTATCAGATATGACCATAAATATTTCATACCTAGTATTCATACATTTTTTTACTTAGTAACTTAACTGAGGTATATTTTACTTATAAAATTCACCCATTTTAAATGTATAAATCTTGCTGTTAACAGAATTAATTATTATGAATTTTAGTCACAATCAATTGCTACATACATATTTACCTTAAAGGTAACATCCAATTTAATTATTTTGACTTAATTGCACAAAGGAAGTTAGGTGGAAGACTGGAGTTATATTGAGCATCATTATTAATATCGACATATGGTCATAATTAATACCCTCAACCATACTTTGAATGACCTGTCTCCAGTGTACAAATGAGAGAACTGAGATCTATTAAGATTATATAATTTGCCAAAGATGCCATAGGCAGTATCAGGTAGGATTCACAATTGAATCTTTTTCCTACTGACTTGCCAGCATCCTCTTTTAATTAAACAATATGATTCCCCCTTCAGTATGCAAACATTTCTTGAGCACCAACTGTGTGCAGAAGCTCTGATGCCAAAATGAACATATGTCTGCCTTTAGACCTACCTGCAAACATCCATGGGAGTGATGGATGCAATTAATTGAAGGGTACATGATCCACCTATAGTTTCTCCTTATGTCAAAGTACAGAGCTTACGAAAAACAGAATATAGAGCCTCTTAAAAGGTTACTTCAGTGATGACGTGCTCTATTTTTCTTAAGTCTCCCACATCTGGCTCATTTCTTAATTTCCTTGTATTCTAGCAGAATTCTTGGTGGAGGGGGCATCCATTTATTTCTATACATCCAGTCTCTGTATGTAACTGTGTCCATTCTGCAGGCTTTTCCAGGCCCAAGTATATCTTTGTCCAGATATTAGCTGGTCATCTGCTAGTCCTGTAACTCTCAAATTCTATTTGTACATCAAAATAATGTGATGATCTTGGTAAAATGTTGATTAAGTAGGCCTGGTGTGGACCTGAGATTCAGCACTTCTAACAAGCTCTCAGGTGTTGTTATTGCTGCTGCTGCTCTGTGGGACACACTTTTATAGCAAGGATTTAGTTTATCCCATTGTTCTTTTGGTCTGAGTTTTGATAACTGACAATAAACAAATAAGTAACCAACCAACTTGTGTTGTACACCTAACTCCGTGTGTAGAATTTTGTAGAGGCTCAATAAATATTCTGGGTGACATATTGCTTGTCAAATAGAAAAGAAAATTTAATGGAATTATATTTTAAAAATCTAAATTCATTTAGAAAATTAGAATTTTTCTTGAATCTGAGTTTTAATGAAAAAAGTTGATTTCATACAGTTGCTTAAATGACTTCATACTTATCCAGTATTTGAATTTATAGTGAAAGAATCCAAACTATGTTCCTACATATTTTAGAAGTGGGAAAATGAGGGAATATTTGTCCCCAAACTAAGAAGACATGCATTTTTTTTTTTTTTTTGTCTATCATTCTTTACTGTGTCTATTAAAAAGAATAGTATCTGGTGTAGAATAAGTTCCCAAAAAATATTTGGTGGGTGAATAAATGAATTACCTAGATAGAAAATGAATATATATAGAGAGAAGCATTGTTTCTAAAGCTAATAAACAAAAATTGATTCAAACAAATATAAAGATGCCCAGAAACATTACTGTAAGGCTGAAAACACTCAAGCAGTTTGTTTAATAAAAGCCATTAAAATACTGATAAATTTTGTGCTTGAATATGGAGAGATCTTTCATCCTGAGCTGTTGAATTTTCTTATTATTTTGTAACATAGCACGATAAATAAATTTTAACAAAAAATAAAAAGCTAACATTTGGAAAAACATTCAAAGTCACCTCATATCTTGTATAAGAGTCAAAACAATTTTATTGTATTTCATAATAAAGTAACATGGTATGAAGCCTGAGCCTGAATGTTTGTTTGATACCCAAATAAAGTAGATTAAATATATCAGCAAATAATTTTTACCTAGGAGGGAATAAATGGAATATGATCTTCAGCATTATAAAAAGAGACAGGGAAAATTAAAATTAAGAAGGCCTCAACTCTTCTTAAAGTTAGTTTTTCATATTTTTTCATATTTTTTAGTGTTAATTTATAGTGATAGCAATAATTTTTTAAAATTTTTTAAATATTTATTTATTTTTGAGAGAGACAGAGACAGAATGCGAGTTGCTAGGGGCAGAGAGAGAGGGAGACACAGAATCCGAAGCAGGCTCCAGGTTCCAAACCATCAGCACAGAGCCCGACGTGGGGCTTGAACCCACAGAGCTGTGAGATCATGACCTGAGCCAAAGTCAGATACCCAACTGACTGAGCCACCAAGGCGCCCCTGACAGCAGTATTTTAAAGAATTTCCCTTTGGTGTAGCAATAATAAAATAGGCCACACTTTATAGTCACTGCTTTATCTTTTTGGTAATCAGTTGTAGAAGACAAAGCCTGGCTACATCTAGATTCATTACTTAGAACATGACTAAAGCTGATGACAGCTAATTAAAATAAAATGAAAAGGACATATTACAGTAAGGCCTTAATTAAAGTAGTTGTAATGAAAGTAAGGAGAATGTGAGATTTATGGGGTAACATTGAGAAATTTAGTAGATGTGATATAAAGAAAAGATGTAATGAATTATGTCATTCTATAGAACAGAATTTTTCAGGATAAGGTGAGTGAGAAATAAGGATTATAGCTTCAGACACGCTAAGTCTGGGTTATGTGTCAGGTTACCAGATGAACATTCCTATTAGGAAGCTTTATATTGAGCTAAGGATAAAAACCTGAGCCAGTGATATAAAGAATCAATGATAGTTAATGGAAGAAGAAGAAATTATAAAGGATTTCTAAAAATTTGAAAATAATAATTTGGGAATAATAATATAGAATATGAGAAAAAAGTGGGTTACAAAATAGAATGAAACCATAAGAATGAAATCTGAGAGCAAGATTTCTAACTGAGCAGAGGAAGGGATAAAGAGGAAAAAATAAAAATGATCAAGAAGAAATAATCTGGAAGGTATGAAAGCATGGAGTCCCCAAAGCCAAAGAAGCAGAGAATTCAAGAATAAAACATGATTAAAAGGAGAGGCAGCGTGAAAGATATGAACACACATATGCACATGGAGAAGAGATATCTGTTCATATCAAGTACAGGGTAAGTGAAAAGAAATGAATATAGGGCAGAGGTAAAGGGATTACAGGCATACCTCAGAGATATTCCAGGTTAGGTTCCAGACCACCCCAATAAAGCAAAAGTCACAAGTGACTCACATGAATTTTTTGGTTTCCCAATACATACAACAGTTATATTTACACTATATTATAGCCTATTCGCTGTGCAAATGGCATTATGTCTGAAAATAAACAACGTACATACCTTAATTTAAAAATACTTTATTGCTAAAAAATGCTAACCATCATATGAGCTTTCAGCGAGTCATAGTCTTTTTGCTAGTGGAGGGTCTTGCCTCCATGTTGATGGCTGTTGACTGATCAGGGTAATGGCTGCTGAAGGTTGGTGGTGGGGGGGCATCTGTGGAAATTTCTGAAAAAAGACAACAATGAGGCTTGCCCCATCGATGGACTCTTCCTCTCATGAAAGATTTCTCTGTGGTATGTGATGCCATTTGATAGCATTTTACTCACCACTGAACTTCTTTCAAAATGGGAGCCAATCCTCTCAAACCTAGCCCTGCTTTATCAGCTAAGTTGATGTAATATTCTAAATCCTTTGTTGTCATTTCAACAATCTTCACAGCATCTTCACCAGGAGTATATTCCACCTCAAGAAACTACTTTATTTGCTCATCCATAAGAAGCAACTCTTCATCCGCTCAAGATTTATCATGAGATTAGAAGAATTCAGTGAAATCCTCAGGCTCCACTTCTAATTCTAGTTCTCGTTCCAGTTCCACCCCATCTACAGCTACTTCCTCCACTGAAGTCTTGAACCTCACAAAGTCATCTCTGAGGGTTAGAATCAACTTCTTCCCATCTCCTGCGCATGTTGATGATATTTTGCATCTTCCCATGAATCATGAAAGTTCTTAATGGTATCCAGAATAGTGAATCCTTTTCATAGATTTTTCAATTTGCTTTGCCAAGAGACATCAGAGAAATCACCATCTGTGACACCTAGAGCCTTATGAAATGCAGTTCTTAAATAATAAAATTTGAAAGTTGAAATTGCTCCTTGATTCAAGGGCCTCAGAATGGATGTTGTGATAGCAGGCATGAAAACAACATTAATCTCACGTACATCTCCATCAGAGTTCTTGGGTGACCAGGTGTGTTGTCAAGGAGCAGTAGTATTTTGAAAGCAATCTTTTTTTTTTTTTTTTTTTTTTTCTGATAAGTAGTTCTCAACAGAGGGCTTAAAATACTCGGTAAACCATGTTGTCAACAGATGTGCTGTCATCCAGTCTTTGTTGTTCCCTTTACAGAGCACAGACAGATTAGATTTAGCATAATTCTTAAGGGCTGTAGGATTCTCAGAATGGCAAATGTGCATTGGCTTCAACTGAAAGTCACCAGCCACATTAGTCCCCAACAAAAGTGTCAGCTGTGAAGCCATTTCCTCTTTTCTCTACTCTAAACCTCATGAACCAACCTGAGCTAGTTTTAAACTTTTCTTCTGCAGCTTCCTCCCCTCTTTCAGTCTTCACAGAATTGAAGAGAGTAAGAGCCTTGCTCTGGATTAGGCTCTGGCTTAAGTGAATAATGTGGCTGATCTGATCTTCTATTCAGACCACTAAAACTTTCTTCAAATCAGCAATAAGGCTGTTTTGTTCTCTTATCATTGATGTGCTCACTAGACCTGCACTTCTAACCATAAGAACTTTTCCTCTGCGTGCACAACTTGGCTAACTGGTTAGCACAAGAAACCTAGCCTTCAGCCTGTTTCAGCTTTTGACATTCCTTCCTCATTAAGCTTAATCATTTCTAGCTTTTGTGTGAAAGTAAGAGATGTCTGACTCTTCCTTTCATTTGAACACCCAGAAGCCATTGTAAGCTTATTGGCTGGCCTAATTTCAATATTGCTGTGTCTCAGAGAATAGGGAGGCTCGAGGTGAAGGAATGTGGGCAGTCAGAACACACACATGTATTGATTAGGTTTGCTCTCGTATATGGGCCTGGTTCATGGTGCCTGAAAACAGTTTCAATAGTAATATCAAAGACCACTGACTACAGATTAACATACCAAATATAATAATAATGAAAAAGTTTTAAATATTGTGAAATTACCAAAATGTAATACAGAGACATGAAGTAAGCCAATGCTGTTGGAAATATGCCTGCTCACTGCAGGATTGCAATAAACCTTCAATTGGTAAAAACGCAGTATCTGTGAAATGCAATGAAACGAGATGAGGTATGCCTGTTTTAGAGAGGAGAGATACTCACACCTCTGGATGAAGAACATGAAGGGGAAAATGTAGTAAAGATTTACATACTTTTGAATGTGGATAGGAAATTGATATATTTTATTTCAAAGGGTTTCAACTGTTATGGCAGAGTAAGAAAGCAATACCAAAGAAGGAGTCAGGGTGGAGTAAAGAGCTTGAGGAATGTCCTGAGGATTTTAAATATCAATTGTAGGATATGAGATCCAAAGACTGCTATAACTAGCAAGTGCTGAAGATCCATCTGAGACTGGGTCACATGCATTGTGGAAGCATCAATCACCACAATGTGATTTTCAGGAAGTATTTAACAGCCCAGACATAGGAGAGAATAAGACTTGTAAAAACTAGCGTGTGTAAAGTTTGCTTTACCTGTAAAACATTTTTTAAAACTATTGTACTCCATGCTGCCTCTAACTTATTTACTGTTCTCCAATGAGAGAAGGGCAATAAAACAACAATATCATCCTGTTCCAAACCACATTTTGAAAGTTGTCACCTTTAGCGATCCAACATACAATCAAATATGATCTGCAGAAACCCTTATGATCATTGTTTAATGTGGTGCTTTCTTGCTGAATGTTATCAGAAACTAGAAATGATACTGACCCAAGATCTTCAACTCCGCATTTGCATATATGGCTCCATGTGTGTTTTCAGCTATGCACTGGTACATGCCAGCATTTTCAAAAGTCACATCATACAGTCTCAACTCCCCTTTATGATACTGAAAAGAAGACAAAGCAAAATACATTTCCTTGATCAACTTTAACAGAAATGCTTTTATTTAGGTCTGGGCTGGTTTGCCTTTTCATTCAGGTACAATATTTTGCCCCCACTGTTAACTAAGCCAGATACGGTAGGGTTTAAAACCCACTTACCATGCCCAGTGGCTCTTGTTCTATTCATCCTACAGAGCTGGGAGTCCACTTTTTCCCTCTTGGCCCAGCTGGGAGATTACAGAGGGAAGGTACAGAAGGGCCCCACTGCTGCTACTTGTCCCCAGGGCTAAAGGTAGAACCTTCCCTCTTACCTCTGTTTCTGTGGGGTCAGGGAAATAGTGGCCAAAAAAAAGAGGACAATATCAGGTAGTAGAGAAGGAAAAGTAGGAAGCAGGGCAAAATGTGGAACAAAGGGCAAAATAAGGAGAGAGAGGAAGAGAGAGAGAAGGTAGACATAAGATTGCAGAAAAGTTGTTTTAAACTGAAAGAAAGTTATTGTTCACTTCCTTGTTTGCCTTTTTTAGAAGACTTATTTATTTATTTATTTATTTATTTATTTATTTATTTATTTATTTAATTTTAGGGCCAAGATACCCTTACTCTATTGATTCTCTTGCTAAATTTATCTGAGGACCACTGGAAATGGTGCCTGAGTATGGACTCAAGAACCGCAAAACGCTTGAACATACATACCGCATATCCATTTTTCAGCCATCGGATTGTAGGGATGGGCTTCCCTGTGGCCACACAAGGCCAATAGAGGTCACTGCCTATATCCACCTCTGTGTCGTTGATATGTTCTACCCACTCAGGAAACGCTGAAAGTTAAAGAACATTGTCAGTGTCAGACTCAAATCTCAACACTCAAAATAATCTCAAGAATGCAAACGTCACATTTGGTTGATCTTCTTCTGGAGAATACATCAGATATTATATATGCCATAAAACCAGCGTTAGAGCCATTGAAATTGCATCCCCATAGGTCTTCAGGTAAATTTTATCCTACATTGTTATAACATGAAGTAACTATAATCAATTCATAATTATTTTCCTATTTGTGAACCATGTGTTGTTAGAAAGCTAATTCATGAGTAACACTACAGTAATTTATCTTTTCTTATAACTTAAATCTTTCAAAATGACAATTAAGGTTTTAAAAAATTATGTCTTGGGGCACCTGGGTTGCTCAATTGGTTAAGCATCTGCCTTCTGCTCAGGTCCAAGCTCCATATCAGGTTCTGGGCTGACAGCTCAGAGCTCGGAGCCTGGAACCTGCTTCAGATTCTCTGTCTTTCTCTCTCTCTGCCCCTCCCCTGCTCACACTCTGTCTCTCTCTCTCTCTCTCTCTCTCTCTCTCTCTCTCTCTCAAAAATGAATAAACATTAAAAAATTAAAAATTTCTCGCCTGCAGGAGGGGGCATGGGCTAAATGGGTAAGGGGCATTAAGGAATCTACTCCTGAAATCATTGTTGCACTATATGCCAATTTGGATGTAAATTAAAAAATAAAATTAAAAAAAATTTCTCACCTGTAACATTTTAAAAAAATTATGTTTTGGGGCACTTGGGTAGCTCAGTTGGTCGAGTATCCAACTTTGGCTCAGGTCATGATCTCGTTGTTTGTGAGTTCAAGCCCCACATCAGGCTCTGTGCTGACAGCTCAGAGCCTGGAGCCTGCTTCAGATTCTGTGTCTCCCTCTCTCTCTGCCCCTCCCCTGCTCACTCTCTTTTTCTCAAAAATAAATAAACATTAAAAATTTTTTTTTAAATTATGGCTTCATTGAATATGACACCAAGTATTTTCTTTTGGAATAAAGAATCAAAAGTTTTTCCACTTCCTCAGGTGTCCTCCTTTTGATGTACCGTTCACCTAGTCACCACTGTCACATTTTACTGTAGGATTAGAAAAATGCCTTGATCATATAATTACTCTTTCAATATTAGAAACCACATACAGGAGCTATAATTGGTGAAATCCATGCTTTAGTGAAATTAATTTCAGCTTCATCATTTCATCTGATCTGGTAGCTAAAGAAAACTGCTAAGTATTTCCCATACCACAAGTAAATATTTCTAGAGAGCAAGCAAATGGACACTATGACATTTTTTTTTTGAGTATTTAAGTTAAATAGTTTCAATAAATGTACGTAGGGGGGTGCCTGGGTGGCTCAGTCGGTTAAGCCTCTGACTTTGGCTCAGGTCATGATCTCACGGTTTGTGAATTCAAGCCCCACATTGGACTCTCTGTTGTCAGGACACAGCCTGCTTCAGATTTTGTGTTCCCTTCTCTGTCTGCCGCCCCCCACTTGTGCTCCCTCTTTCTCGCTCATAAATAAATAAATAAATAAATAAATAAATAAATAAATAACTGTAGGTAAATAAATTGATATAAAATAAAGGAGGTAGGAATAGAGAATTAATTGTGAGTGGAGGATAGTATTTTATTTTCTTTAAAAAAGAAAACTTTGATATACTAATTTTATGACAAAATAATATACATGTCTTATAGAAAGTATTTAATACATATAAATAATAAAGAGTATAAAACATTTTTATGATCTCACTAGATATAATCCCATCAAGATTATATGCGTGTGTGTATTTATAACACAACAATCTGATTTAATATATTTTCACTTATCATTACATTTTGGTAACATATGTAGACAGTTATAAAAATTAAATATTGATAAGAATGTTAATTGAGAGAGGTTTTATTTTGTAGACAATCTTGGCAATACATAAAACAGGAATATGAGCACCTTTCATGCCTTGGACTCTAACACACAAGATATCACATTAAAAAATACAATAAGAATAAATAATGGAATGAGATTGACTATGATTTAATTTTGTAAACTGGTTGTTTGATTACACCAAAAGATAAAAACTGAGTGTGTTTCATTAGTAAAGGAACAATAATAGTTCCCTTAATAAGATTCCCTTACAAATATCTGCTGTCACCTTGATTCTTCTAAAGAATTAGACATTATATAGTTTAGAACTCTACCTGGCTAAAAACCTGGATCGTAGTTTTCTTAGTACACTGAATAAAAACAGATCTATAAGCACTAGAAACCTGGTAGAATGCCAGCTTTATTTAAAAAATGTAATGTAAGACTCTAACCAGAATTTTCCTCTCTTCTGGAGGTCACCTATGTATACTTGATACGTATCAAGTGAATTTTGTTGGGGTACTGAATATACAAGTCTAGGGTTCCAAGAAAGTATCTGGGTCAGAATTTTCAGGTGCTAGAGCCTAATTAAAGCCATGATCATAGATGAAATCACCAAGGTTGTGAGGAAATAGAGAAGATTTTCAGAGACAAACCCTGCTTGCTCCCATGTTCGAAGGGCATATGGATTGAGGAGGAGCATGCAAGTGGTGCATAAGGATGTTAGCAAAGTATGGATCCCAGATGCGAAGCACAGAGAGCAGACAGTGGAGGACAGCACAGTCAACAGGGGCGTCTGTTGCTGCTGGATCAGGTAAGACACAGCTGCGAAGTGGCCATTTGCTTCAGCAACATGACGTCATTGGTGATCAAGATAAGATTCCGGCAGGGAGGTAGGTATGAGACTCAAACAAGAATGAATTTTTTTTTTAATTTTTTTTCAACGTTTATTTATTTTTGGGACAGAGAGAGACAGAGCATGAACGGGGGAGGGTCAGAGAGAGAGGGAGACACAGAATCGGAAACAGGCTCCAGGCTCTGAGCCATCAGCCCTGAGCCTGACGCGGGGCTCGAACTCCCGGACCGCGAGATCGTGACCTGGCTGAAGTCGGACGCTTAACCGACTGCGCCACCCAGGCGCCCCAAGAATGAATTTTAAAATGAAGAAAAATTGACCACAGCATATTTAGAAAGTATAGGCAAATCTGTCAGGGAGACAAGAAGAAGGGAAATGGAGCAGCAGCCAGATTTACAAATATTTTAAAGAAGTAGGAAACAAGAGCCACTATACACTGATGAGAATGATCCATTGAAAAAATCTGGCGATTACTTTCGCCAGAGAGGGAATTGCTGGAACAACAGCCTTAAGGAAGTAGGAGGGTACAATGAAGCACAGAGTAGAGGTGTCGGCCTCAGATACCAGCTGAATCCATAGCAATGAGATATGGGTAAAGGTATTGGATAGACGTGGGGTGGGAGCCTGTGGAAGTTCTAACTTGATCTTTCATTTTCTCAGTGAAAGAAGCAGCCAAGTTATCAGCTGAGAGTAAGGTTGAAGGAGGAGGTGTTAGGGTTTGAAGTAAACTGTGAAGGCATGAGTAGGTCATCTAAGGGACTGCAAGAGTAAGTGGGCCTGTGGAAATAAAATATAATTGCCAGGCAGCACCAAGGGCCCAGTTGAAGTTAGTGATGAATAATTTAAAATGCTCTAATAAGTATGGTGATGTTTATCTTAAGTCATATTCAAGCCCCTGGTTCAGGCACTGTAGGCAAAAACCTCGATTTTTCCGGGGTTGGCCTTTTACAAAGGTAGCAAGACAAAACAGAAGGTGGTGAGTGCATTGTGGAGGAGTGCAGGGGAACAGTTATGAATGATCACAGGTTTAGGGAAGAGGTAGGTAGAGGTTAGCGGAAGTGAAAGAATGTTAAACCGTTGCCAGATTAATTGGTTATCGTTCCTGGTAGAGTCCAAGGGTATGAGAGAGACTGAACTAGAAAGATAGGAGATAGTGGTTTGAAAGAAATGTGTGAAATTGAGATTATAAAGGGATTGTAATTTGGAGGGGGGCATCTGGATGGCTCAGTTACTTAGGTGTCTAACTCTTGATTTTGGCTCAGTTCATGATCTCACAGTTGACCATGAGATTAAGCCCCGCATCGGGTCCATGCTGAATGTATAGCCTGCTTGGGGTTCTCTCTCTCTCTCCCTCTCTGCACCCACACCCTTATCTAAAAATAAATAAACATTAAAAAAATAAAGGGATTGTACTTTTTGGTAACATTGAGGTCTGAAGTGTGGCCATGGGAACGGGTTGCTCAGGTGGGTTGACAGACAAGATCATTAGGGAAGAGGAGTTCAATAGAACGGAGAGGCCAAACTACTAAAGATAATCATAGTCTGAGTTGATTTTGATGTCACGAAGAATGTCAAGAGTAGTGTTCTGGTTTGTAAGAGCTGCCAAGAGCAAAATCCTTAGAGAAATGAGGGGGTTTGTCCTGACAGATAGTTAACTGGACATTTAAAGGAAAAGAGATGGAACGTAGTCTAGAAACAGTGTATGGAACAAGAAGAGCAGGTATACTGCAAACCAAAGGCAATGAGAGCTGTGGAAGAAAATTAGCCACTGCCTGAGAGGATTACAGGGGAAGCAGTGTCTTTAAGGGAGAACCATGTTGCAGTTAAGTGAGAAGTTCAGAGTAGAAGTTATAGAGAAGTTGAGAATATACGGGATTGCGATGACAGCAGCCTGTGTGTTGTAGAAAGTATGGTACAAAGGTTTCAGCAGTTAGGGATGGGGAGGAGATGGAGACTGAGAAGGACATGTGCAGAGCTGTGTAGGTGTTAAAGTTCAGATGATAAGGGAGGCCTGGAGTGCGTGGCTTTCTGTGCCAAATGGAATGAACAGGGTAAAGGCAAAAAGAGCCTAATCCTGGTGAATTCTATGGGATGGTGGTGGTGAGACTTCATGTGTTAAGTCATTGGAGGCACTTACTTCATCCCTGTATAGACAGAGGCCTGGGTCTGGGTAGGGGCCACAATGCCCCTTCCCCACTCCGATATCACAGTTTGGCTCTCACATGTGTATGGAGGCATATGTTCAGTTGCTTGTGTGTACTGGTATAAATGTAGAGGTTTGTATATAGTATGAAAACAGTATGAATCCTGGACAGAGGACAGAGAGAGTATTTCTCTTATCTAGTTCCACTTGTTCCTGTCATAGTGTGTGTCTCTGAGTGGACACTCAATGGATGCTTGTCCTTTAAATGAACGGGCTTACCGAAACCTCAGATGTTTGCTTAGTTGTGATCTTTAAGTTTTATATTGTACAATAATACAGAAATGATTTCAGCCGAAAAGTTTCAAGTGGTCCCTGAAACACAACATTCTATCCCCCTAAATATAAGTGTGTGGGTGTGCGTGTGTGGGGGTGTGCGTGTGTGTGTCTGAATCAAACACTTGACCAAGAAAACTGCTTCAAAAAATTTTTTTTTCCTCTTTTGGAAAAAAGGAAGTTCTCAAACTGTGGCTCCTGGTCTGGTAGCATTAGCATCTTTTAGGAACTTATTAGAAATGCAGATTCACGGGCCCTAAATAGAACTTTCTAACTCAGAAACTCTGGGAACCAGCAATCTGTGTTGTAATAAGCCCTCCAGGTGATTTTGAAGCATACTTGAGTTTGCAAGTCAGTGGCTTAGCCTGAGTCATAATGCATAGTTTCTTCTACAAATAAAAAGGTATTTGTAGAACAAGGAAGGGAGTCAACAAGTTACATCAATTGTATTTTCAGAAAATTATCAAGAACACTACTATGAATCCATTGGTGTTAGTATGATGCTAATAGAAGTTTATAACTTTTATAAGCCATATTTGTGACTTCATTAGATGGATAAATATTTCACCTTTTTGCATAATATAAGATACATCACTGTTTTTAAACTATTATACTAGCTTTTCAAGTATGGAAATGGCTATAAATAAGATACTGATGCAATTTACAGAAAATTAAAATAACATGTCTACCTTGAACATAAATTCTTGCCTGGTGTTTATCCTTTCCTCTATTGTTCTCAGCCTCACATTCATATGTGCCTTCATCTTCTAGCTGAATATTGAAGATCTTGAGGACAGCCCCAGAGGTGCTGATCTCAGCAGTACTTGGCATTGGTTCTAGGACCTTCCGCCATCGGATATCAGGAACGGGACTTTAAATAGGAGATAACAAAAGCTAAGGGTCCACAACATTTCAAAATAAATTACTTTGTTTCTCTATAGCTAAACACTTACATCATTTATTTCCTAAATGGTACAAAAATTAATATATTTCTATATATGTTAATAAAAAATATAAGTATACTTACTTGCCAAGCGCAAAACACTCTAATGTCACATTTTGGCCCATCAATGCATAAATGTCCTTGAACTGAACTACGATATCAGCAGGATATGGTTTTGTTGTTCCTAATATCAAGAAAAATACAAATATCCACTAATTATTAGGCAGAATTAAAAGAGGTTTTTTTCAATATTGTAATTTTGATAGAATTACTTCAGTATGGAAGACATTTCTCAAGTACTGGGAACTATCTGATCATATCACAATGCATAGACTTATTTGTTTATGCATAGTATGTATATAGCATAAATTTCATCAAGCATTTCCAATCATATTGACTCATTCTCAAGCTGTGTAACTAATTTTACTCAATTCACTAAAAAAAATTTTCAAGGGGCGCTTGGGTGGCTCAGTCAGTTAAGTGGCTGACTTCGGCTCAGGTCATGATCTCGCGGTCCGTGATTTCGAGCCCCGCGTTGGGCTCTGTGCTGACAGCTCAGAGCCTGGAGCCTGTTTCGGATTCTGTGTCTCCTTCTCTCTGACCCTCCCCTGTTCATGCTCTGTCTCTCCCTGTCTCAAAAATAAATATAAAATTTTTTTTTTTTTCGAGAAGTCTTAAAGAGCATCAAAAATGTGTGAAACACTGTGCCAGGCGCTAAATGAGACTCAGGAAGGAAGAGAAAGGACAAGGGAAATGAGGGAGAAGGGTAGAAGGAAGAGAGAAGAGTGTAAAAGAAAGAGGCCAGGTGAGAAAAGAGGGAAAAAAGAAGAAAGACATGCATATGGCAAAAGGGAAATAAGTTGAAAAGAGGGAAGGAGAGAGGGAACGAAGAAAAGTGTTTCTTCAGACAACACTGTGCTTATCAATATAGTTACCTTATTGAATGTATTGAGCACATCTGTACTGAGAGATGCTTTATTCCCTCAATCTTACAGTCACAGAAACAGGCTCAGAAAGGCAAAATGCATGGTTTAAGATTATAGTATGAATGGTACTTTGCACTTCATTGGTACTAGAGAGACAAATAGATACACAATGACTGAAAATACAAGTCAAAACAAAAATAAGTGGTCTGAAAGGGTGGCAGCTAAGGAGGATGGTTGATTATGCAGGGCCTATGGGAATTTCAGGCAAGAAGAGTATTTGAATTCACCAGACCAGTTTGGGTTGAGGAAACAACATATTAAGACAAAGTTTCAGGAGTATGCAGGGAATTTTTTCAATAATTCACAAAATATATGTGTTGAAGATGAGCTTGAATCTATTATCTAGAAGGCTTGAAACTGTGACATTAAACATTTTGAGAATAATTTCCTTGGTGATTAACTGCCAGTGCATTTGGGAAAGAGAATTTATATGAATATCACCTTTGGTTTAAGTAGAAAATCTTGTTGGAAGTTTTAAAGAATGGAACATGGAGAAGAGAATTTTAGAAGAGTATCTAAGGAAGGCTTTGTCATTACTTCAGGCAAAACAGATGAGGGCTTGAGCAGTAGGAATAAAAAGGAAAGAACTGGTCAAAGCTGTCTTTCAGAGGCAGAATCAACAGGACTGCTCTTTGGGTCAATGTTTTCACAACTCATAGATAAAAGATCCAATTCGTTGTAATCACTGGGGATGCTTGCTGAACCTACAAATTCCTGGGTCACATCCCAGACCTGCTGAATTAGTATTTCTGGGTTGTACATTTCCGCAAACTTCCCAAGTGCTTACATACTAACTGCAGACCACTGAATTAGCTATCTGGAGGATGAGGAGAGGACAGGACTTGAGGATTAAAAATGCTATTCTAAGATAGTAGAGATATGACAATACCACCAAACAAGATGAAGAGCACTAGAAGTTTTAGACATGAGATGACAGATGTGTCTGGAACATTTTGAACTTAACATTCTCAAAAACATTCTGAATGACAAGTCTAGGAGGTAGGTAGAATTAAGTCCTAAACAAAGAGAAAAGTTTTAGACATAAGAATGTGGACTCATCTCCATAGTGCTGCTGTCGAAAGGCATAAATTGGTAAGAATATCTGAAAAAAGATTAGAGAGAAATATAAGAAGGAGGAAGATCTGGGGAAGGGTACTGCATAGAATTTGTCAGAGAGGCAGGTGGAAGACAAGGGGAGGGAAGGAGCTGGGAAAATTAGGAAAAGAAAGAAGAGTTCAAGAGAAGCATAGGAGATCAATAGTGTCAAAGTTCATACAAATTCGGAACTGAAAAGTATACTTTGGATTTAGCAAATAAGAAATTGTCAAGATTCTTTGCAGTTAATACAAAAGAATACACAGAGGGAAAGAATGGAGAATAAAGATTCTGGGGAAAAAAAGCAGGAATTAAATGATATAGTGAAGTCTCTAAATGAATCAAATGGTAAATGAACTAGTGCAACTGGAAGAATTAGCTAGAACAGGAAGAGAAACACTTCTTCCACAGAGATGCTAGTAAGAAATAAATAGATGAGATGAACTTCTGGGGTAGAATAAGAAAGAAACCTATAGAAGTTTTTACACGCTGGCTGCTTATGATTCTATGAGGTAGTAGATCTCAAGTGTCTCCAAGATTGTGGAGAGAAAAAAGAGCCAGAAGTCAAAAAATATTTATTGAATACCAACTACGTGACCACAATCTTGAGTAGAAAAAATGCAGCCACAGTGATATGATGACATTTTCCCCATTTCTTATTTAGAATAGAGGCAGGAACCAAGCCTAGGTCTGTGAACAACAATTCCCAGTATTTCTTCAGAAGCTTGAACTCACTGATGTGAGTGGTAACAGGAGGACTATGATAAAAACAATGGGAAGTAAGCAAATATGTTGAAGTCTGATTTTCTTAGGAAGTGATGCATTAAAATAAGGAATGCTGTTCAACTGGAATCTTGGAAATGCCATTCAGGTCTGTCAGTAATCATCAATTATGGCATCATGGTAGTGATACCCCATGCTACTTACTTATAGCAGAAAGGCAATACGTACACTAATTTGCTTCATGTAAATAGTTCCTCAAAATATCAAAGTAATAAAACTGCGTTTATTTCCTAATTCTATAATCACTATAGCTTATTTTGATCTAATCATTTGTTCTCTTTCATTAAGTTACTAAAAACTTTGAATGGACATGAGAATAAAAGCAGAGGTCAGTGATTCCCACTGTAACCAATATATGGGTATTAGGCTAATGAATCAGTGCCTACACATTCTCTGAACTAGAAGCAACCAGTCTGACCTGGACCATCTTAGGGCACTTTTAACATGTAAATCTCCATCAGAAAAACTAAGTAATGACCAAGACTTGCAAAGTCTTCTGTTTGTGTATCTTCTGTTTGCCCTGACTGGGCAGCCAACAAGTCTTCCCACTGGATATTTCTTTTCATATTGTAAGTACTCCCATAAGCAGACAACCTGCAAAAATAGTGTCTAACAAAATACTTACGTTCAGGTTGTGGAATGAGTGGGATAAATTTGCTGAACACACTCTTTGTAATAGAAGGACTGGATACAAAGCAGGAATAATTGCCTTTGTCTGATGCCTCGACATTTGCAATGTAGAGATTTCCATTCGTCTGAGACACAAATCTTCGTTTATCCATTGTGATAAATACAGGAAATTCATTTAGAAGCCAGCGGTAGCTAAGGTCATCTGGAAGAAAATATTGTCTCTTATAACTGTTGTTTTCTAGCAGTAAGCTAAGGCATAATCCAAACTAGGCTATTGCAGAACAAATGTTGGATGTCAGCCAAGACAAACAGTGCTTTTTCCAAAAGCTACCATATTTTTTTTTGAGTAAATATAAGCATGGCGATAAGCAATGGTATCTGTCTTTCTCTCTCAAATATTGTATGGACTATTAATATTCTTACTTCGATTTCACTGATAGGCTAAATGAGACTCAGAGGTTAAATGTTTTGCTTAGAATTTCATGATTGGTAAGTAGAATCAGACCCTGCATTAATATAGGAAATTCCAAAATTTCATGACCCATCTTCCCTAATGCATTTTAAAAATAAAATGAAGATTGTTAACCACACTGTGTCTTTGTATCTTTTTCCTTTTGCACTCCTATTTTGAGTAACAGATTTAGAAATGAATTTCCACTAAGTCTTTTCTTAAAACAGCAGCCAGACTCATCTTTCTATAACTTAAGCAATGTCATTGGACTCCTCTGGTCTAAGCCCTCCAATGAAAATCTCACTCTAGTTAAAGCCAGTGTAATCACTATGAATTATAAGGTCCCATGTGATACAGCTCTTGTGTCTCTCCAATTTCATTTCTTACTACCTTCTACCTCATTCGCTCTATTTCAGTCACCCTGACTTCCTTGATCTCCCTCCATAGTCCCATCTCACTCCTTGCTCCTGCTGCTGCATCCGCCTGGTATGCCCTTATCTCAGACATCTGCACTGTTAGCTTCTTCATTTCCTTCAGGGCTTTATTCAAAGTTACCTTCACAGCATTGTCCCTTACAAGAGTTCAGCTATCCCTTTAACACTTACTCTTTCCCTTCCCTGAATTAATTTTCCACCCTGGAGCTTACCTACTACCAATATCTTGGTAGGATTGTAGTTCAAATGGAATCTTGGAAAAGCTATACCTGTTAACTATGGATCTTGTCTGTTGGCTGTCTCTTCCAGTAGCAAATCCCTGAGGGCAGGTGGATTTTCCTGTTTTACTCAAATAGGTATTCTTGCGGCATACACAGTGCCTGGCACACGTAATTGTATAACAGGTGCTCACAAGAGATTTGTTGAATGAATGAGTGATTAAATGAAGCCCATCCAGTGCTGAATGTAGTCAAATGTAGTCATTGGCTATTTATGATCATTATCTTTGTTTGTGGGAAATGCTATGGAGATCAGGGGATTTTTTTCCCTGTAGTTTTAGCAGTTCTGCATAATAAAAGATTACTCTCTCATAGAAAGGTTGTTACATCATTTTGAATTCTATGTTCCTCCTATATTTAACATTTAATAGTATTTCTCCTGTTTTATTAGAGAGAAAACTACTGATATTTGATATATAAACAACCAGACTTCATATACATATAATTGTAATAGAATATATTCTCTACGAAGGTCTTTAAAGACAAATTTATGCCATAATATTAGAATATAAAACATTGGTTTTTTCCACTGTGAAAAGTAGTGTTTATATATTGTTTCAAGAAGATATTTTATAAAAAAAGCAAATGAAAATTAATGAAAGTATATAAAGTGTTCATCTTTTAATTAGCACTTGGTGGCTTTTCTTTTAGCCATATCAAAGTACAGAAAACCAGTATTCAAAGGTTGAATCTTGTTACAGATGACAATTTAACCCCTTTCTAAATTGGATGATTATTCTTGCAGATAGATGCCCTAAAGAGATTAGTAATTTATTATGTCTTATCCTTTTTAAGCATTTATATAATTCACAGTATACTGTAGATATAATATTTTTAATGAAATGACTGACCAGCACTGTTCTATTTTTAAAATAATTTGTAAATACTCTATCATATTTTCTCCTGTGTAACAAGAATGTTAATAAGGGCATAATCTAACATATATGTTGTTTATAAACCAATATGATTCCAGACCTTTGGAATTAGGGCCAAGTGACTAGAGAGCCTAGAAGGGTCTATAACCATTATTAAGTGATACATTACAAGGTTAGACAAATATTGAGTCTTATTTAATCATAAATGTATCATTATTGTTAAGAAAATTAAAACTTGATGCGTTCATTGCACAGATGCTTACAGTCACAGAGGAACTTAATTTACCTGGAAAATGGTAGGGAGGATCACAGAGAAGCACCATTCCCTTCCCTTCTTTCACTCTGACCTCAGGACGCTCCTCAGGTGGGAAAGGGTCAAGATCTAATTATGAAAGCAAAAAGGAAAACATTCACTCTCCAGTCAATAGAGATTTTCATTAAAGTATATTTTTTACCTACTAACTCATTTTTGGATATGATACTTCTCAGTTGCTTTGGTGGAGCCTGTGCAAGTCAATTCTGCTTTTATACGCTGGCATTTGCATAAACTCTAAAAGACTTCTGTGACGAACTCCAGCAACTGGGTATTAGTATCGGCCTACGTAAGTGTGCTAACAACCCTGAAGATTACAAATATCCTCAACCTTTGCTTCAAGTTAAGGTAGAATCTTAGTAAGGTAATTTCAATCTCAGTAAGTAATTTCCATCTGGAAATACAATTGGCTCAGACAAAACCAGGATTCTACCAAATAAGTAAAGAGGAGTGACTTGGAGTCACAAACTCATTTGAAAAGTCTATTTCTCTTCCTGAGGGGAGGACTCCAAGGGGGTGAAGGAACAGGATGAATGGCAGGAGCCTAGTCACCAACTTTTCTCCTTTTCAAATTCTGAGTTTTCCTTAGTCTCATCTCCTTCATTCTTTTCTGTTTACTTAGAATTCACATTTTGTTTAGTTTCATGATACTCTATTTTTTATATTATTTTTAAAAAATTTTTTAACACTTATTCATTTTTGAGAGATGGGAAGAGACAGAGCATGAGTAGGGGAGGGACAGAGAGAGAGGGAGACACAGAACCTGAAGCAAGCTCCAGGCGCTGAGCTGTTAACACAGGGCTTGAACCACAGACCACGAGATCATGACATGAGCTGAAGTCAGATGGTTAATTGACTAAGCCACTCAGGCACCCCTCATGATACTCTATTTTATTCTTTATTTGTTTTACTCATGCTCATTCTGTTTCAGCCCTGACTCATCTCCTACTTCTCAGTACGTGAATTATAAAATCAAACTGTTACCTCTCTGAATATATTTGTATCTCAGAAAAGTCATCATTCTAATTATTACCTTTTTGCAGAGAGCCCTTCAGATATATATCTCTCATCCTGATGCCTCACTTGAATGCCAACCCTATCCTCAAATACTTAGCTGACATTTCAACAATGATAACTTAATGTCACTATAACCTCTGCATGTGAAGCCATTATTTAAATGCTTCCTCCCAACCTTGAAATTGGTTTTACTTGATCCCATTCCATTATTAAAGAAAGCAGAATGTTTCTGCCCTTTGACTTGACTTTCCTTTTAAAAAATTATTTAGGTTCCTTTTTCTTCAATGCAATGCAATTGTTCTATTGTTTCTTCAAGGACTGGGTTTATTATTTATATTCCAACTGTGGCCACATTAATTGAGTCTGATTGTTCACACCCTCTGGTAATCACTGCCACATGGGTCCTCTTAAAACATAGTTTTCAGAGTGCCTGGGTGGCTCAGTCAGTTAAGCGTCTGGCTTTTGCTCAGGTCATGATCTCACGGTTCATGAGTTCAAGCCCTGCATGGAGATCAGTGCTGACAGCTAGTGCCTGGACCCTGAGAATCTGTCTCAGTCTCTCTCTCTGCCCCTCCCCTGCTTGTATTCTGTCTCTATCTCCAAAATAAATAAACATTAAAAGAATTTTTTTTTATTAAAAAAACATGGTTTTCATCCTATAATTGATTTTGCAAAGGATTTAAGTGCTAACTTATAAAATCACATACTGGAGATCATCTAGCCCAACCCCTCTTTCAATGTGCAATTTTCTTCTAGAATAGCTTCTATCTTTAAGTTTAGCACAAGGTTCCTGAAGGTATTTTTTCACAACTGCCTCCATAAGGAGAATATTTTAAACTTAAAATAATTTAATTAATTTAATTTAATGTATTCTTAATAAGGTAAATTACGTACTATGGATTAAGATTCTGGCAGGTGGAGTTGAACTTTAGAGAACAGAAACTGTTAGTTACAATGTCGAAGATGGTCTCTGCCCCCAAAACTTCCATTGAGAACACATGGCTTGACACTTCCACTGAAACTAGTTTTTAGAAAGTTATTCAAAATCCCACAGAACATGGCCTTTGTTTCACAACGCTTCACTCTTGAAATTTTCTCTCCACAATCTTTTTTTAAAATTTTTTTACATTTATTTTTGAGAGAGAAAGAGAGAGACAGAGTGTGAGCAGAGAGAGAGGGAGACACAGAATCTAAAGCAGGCTCCAGGCTCTGAGCTGTCAGCACAAAACCCAACATGGGGCTCAAACTCATGAGAGGTGAGATCTTGACCTGAGCCAAAGTAGGATGCTTAACCGACTGAGCCACCCAGACGCCCCTCTCCACACAGTTTTAAATGTGATCATATAAGACCCACTTTATCTATGGATCCTTTCTTTCATTTTCTTTTCATCTTGATTTTTCTTATTGACTCTTATGATGACATCTAATTTTTCCTTCACCTAAATACACTTGACCATGTTAAAGTTACAGTCACTTACATCCAAAGCTCAGGGTTGCTTCAGTGCTTCTGACCATCCCATAGTTATTTGATGCCAAACAGTAATATATTCCAGCATCTTTCTGTTTGTCAGGGTTGTTGATAACCAGGTTTCCTCCTACCATACTGTACCGATCACTTGTCAGGTCAATATCCCCATTATTCATTCTCCATCTATGAGAAAGAAAAACAAATGTCATGTCAAAGGTCATGAGGCCTGCAAATAGCATACTGGGCTAATGTCATTCTAAAATAATATGGGTATGGCTTCATGTGAAATCAGATGATTAAGTAGATGACTTGGTATGGTATTTCTTCACACCCTATAATTCTGGGTCGCTGGGCTCATAATTTATGATTTAGGTCAGGCACATAAAGGTAAATGTTAAAGTGCATGAAACATTTTCTCTTTATTAATAAGACATCTGCAGAGACATATATTTCACTGAATTTTGCTACATTAATTGGTTTCTTAACAGATATACATAGATTATAAATGATAATCATCTATGTACTAGTAAGATTCATGCATATGCAGATGTGTTGCATAAAATATTAATGCATTACTCTAGTAAAAAATAAAAAATAAAATATAAATTTCTGATTCTATATATCAAAATAGTTTTTCAATAAAACTAATTGAAGTCAAGGTTCTACTGAGTAAATGTCACATTCTGACCACTAGAGGTCGATCACACAATTTGAAAATTGCAAAAATCAATTGGATCTTTTGTTTCCAAGCCAATATACAATTGCAGGTATAGTTAGGGGATTGTGTTATAAATAAATTGACTAAAAACAGGAATCTAACTTCCTTGGTGAGATTATGAGAAGAATAAATGTAGAAAATAGTTTTCAATTAAGCTGACCATCTGTGTAATATACACACTCATTCTGTATCAGGGTTCATGTCTTCAGCAATGTCACAGGCAAGAGCCATGGTCAATTAGTGGGCTGGGGCCTCATGGCTCATTGCCTTGCACACTTCTAATTAGGGTTAGAATCTTACAAAAAAAAGCCTAAACATTTTAGAATATTTTTTATTAAATCAAATTACTGGAACATTTTTAGTTTTAACTTTTATAATATAGGACGTAATTTAAAAGCAAACCCAGAAAACTGGGCTTTTGCATTTTGAAAGCCTCCCAAATTCCAACCCAATGAATAAATCTTCCTTCCCCCCAGTTTGATGGCAATGTTGGCCCTACTTGAACAATCCATTGTCAAGTTGTTTAGCACTTGCCAAGGCAATGGGTTTCCTTGTTGAGCAATTCCAATTTTATTTTGTTTTTCCACTATGATGACTCCAAATTTTTGCTTATTTCATTAATTCTTCTCCAGTACATTTGATTCTGCCTTTTAGGTTATATAATGATTAAGTTTTGCTACGTTTGGGTAGGTTCACTGGTTTACTTTACTTTCAGGAATACACACCATTCTTGTAACTCCTTTCAAACAGTTTTAAATGCAATTTAATTAGCATTCTTATTATTTTGGGGGTCAAAGCAAGATGATGAAAGCTTCAAGGCTGGTAAGTAAAAGGTAAGGTTCCCTGCTGTGCCTTTCAGGGTGTTGCCATGAATAAGACATTACCATGGAGTATGCCATAAATATAAATCTACTGTGTGAATGACACATTGCATGATGACCAAGGTTAGTATGGCTCACTCTGAATATTAAGTAAATTTTAAAAACTTCAAATGTTCTTTTCAATCAGACACGCTGCATCATGAGCTGAATTCTTTCTTTCCTTCCCTTTCTTCCTCCCTCCCTTCCTCTCTTTCTGCCTTCCTTCTTTCCTCCCGCCCTTCCCTCCTCTCTTCCTTCCTTCCCCCCTTCCTCTCTTTCTTTCTTTCTTTCTTTCTTTCTTTCTTTCTTGTTGTCAAATGCAGACTGCCTTCATAACAGAATTAAACATCTACTTCTCCTTCCAGCTCTCTATATTAAGGTGCAAGGTCAGGAGGCCACACTCATCCTAGGCATTCAGTGCTGGTACAACCTATGGAAGGGAGTTGGTGATATATTTGTCAAGCAAAGCTTTCTCTGTTATTTTTACATTTTAAATTTTGATAAGAATGCTTAATATGAGATCTACTTATATAAGGTATCTGTAATAGTGAAACTAGCGAAGCAAAGTATAGAATGGTGGATGCCAGAGACTGGAGAGAAGAGAAAAAAGGGAGTCGTTAATCAATGTGTATTAAGTTGCAGTTATGCAAAGTTTTGCTTCTTACTGTGTCTGTGGGGTTGGGAAGGGGTTGAGCACAGTGAGAAACTCCCATTTCTAGAACACTATCTGAGAACAATCTCTTCTGTTATGGTGCCTCCATTTCAGCCTACAGACTGATCTGCTAAGTTTCCGTGTATGAGTGTCAAGGACAAAGTGTCACAAAATAAGCATCACCGAAAGAGCTTTTGAGATCACTGAAATAGCATTTGAGATGTTATCAACCTATCTATATAGACACATACTGAAAAAATTATATGTTTCTTTGAAAGCCATAAAACCTGTGTTTCAGTCCTGGATCTGTGATTACTAACTCTGAAGCAAGTCAGTTTATATATTCAAGATTCAACTTCCTTTCCTCTAAAACTATGTGCTTGGGTTAGATCTCCTCTACAGTCCCTACTAGTTATACTATTCCATGCCCATAACTATGTATATAAACACCTATTATGTATGGCTTAAGGGTAGAAACAAGTCTAGCTCATCAAATATTTTCAGAACAAACATATTACTTATAATTTATAAAATGTCTATTTATTTTGTACTCCCATGCATGAAATTGAAACAATAAAAATAATTTCAAAGGGATGGTGATTTTGTATATAAATTCATATTTTATTTTAAGAATAATTTTGTAATTTAACCCAGAGACTTAAGAGAGTCTCTTGAACTCAAGAGAAAATAAATTCAATTAGAATGAAATTTGATAACGACTTTTTCTAACAATAGACAGTTGTTTTTCTACTGAGAAAAAAATACTATGAAAATCAATCTTGTTGAGTGACAACCTTCAATTAACTGACATTAATGCACTAAAGTCCCAATTTCCCCATCAATCACTTGCTTTGTCTTCATGGAACCATTTCACAGGTGAAATTCAAATCCATTGGTGTCAGGTTGATTTTTTAATCTAATTCATTGTATCAGGCTAGGAATTGTTAGTATACTTTTTTGAACCATCTGAAGCAGAAAAACCCATTGTTCTTTTTTTATAATATAAATACGTACCTCAGAAAAACAGAGGGAGATATATTTATATGAATTGTCTAATGGGGGGGATATTTAAGAAATTTGCTGTATTATCTGGAATATAGATTTGATACTACTGAAAAAAGTGGTGCTTTCAGGATTATAAATGCAAGCTCTCTAAACGTAGTTGATACAGGAATATCATCTATAATATGTAAGTATGCATTACCCAGGTCAATGCATATAAGAACATTTTATTCTCAAATGAGTATATTTAAATTGTGCATGATTTTCACATAGCCTTTTATGTGCTTAAATCCATGATCACCATTAGAAAATTTTTAAATGGATAATATCAAAAAGCATTGGCATTATCTGTGCAGAAAATAGTAAGTGGATTATTTGCATATATTTAAGGAAACTTATTATTGGGCATTAAACTACTCTATTTTGATAACTGGTATGCCAATATTTTTGTTAATATCCCTGTATTTTGTTAACAGCCTTATATTATAACTTTTTTCTATCATTACAGGGTCACAGATGTTGATCTATAATCTGGTCTGACATGCCACTCTGAAAAGAGCAGTGAGGTACATTACTTGTAAACTGGGAAAGGGCTGGCTCGTGCCCTACAGTTTAGTGAAACTTTTCCTTCTGGTGATTCCTCTGGATAAATGGTATTGATTGGCTGCTCTTCGAAAATTGGTCCAAATCCTTTGTCTTCCTCAGAAACTACAAGAAAAATAAAATTATTTTACATTGTGTTGCTATAAGTGAAAGAAAATTTGGACATGTTTAAAAAGATTTTGGAAAAAAAGCCAGAAACACAGAATCTCCATTCCCATTTGAACAAAGATATTTGCCTTCATAATCCTGAGGAAAACATTTAGGTGCTTTATTCAAAATTCTTTTCTGCCCATCTCTCATTGCATTTCCCAAAGCACCCAGTGTTGTCACGCTTAACTACTTATAGTCCCTCAAATGAGTCATGCTTTCATGCCTCTGAGCTTTTGCAACATGTTTTTTCCCCTTTCTAGACTAATCATCTCATTTTTGTCCTCCTATCAATACTCAAAACGTCCTTTATGATACAACAGTAGTTAGTTCCTCCAGGAAGCCACCCCTCAACCCCCCTAGCCTCAGTTGGTCCTCATTTGTGCTCTCAGAACTCCTCACATAGCTTATGGTACTTAACACACCTTCTGTGATTCTTGATACAATTGTCTGTTCCACGAGACTGCAAATGCTTGGAACAGGTGGCTGTGTCGATAATCTCTCAGCTAGCGGTCAAGCAGTCTGGAGCACAATAGGTGCTGAATGAGTTTTTAATAAGAGAATGAATGAATTTGTAGATGCTCTGGGGAAATTAGGCTCTTCCCTGAGTCACTTTTTCTTTTTTGTTTTATTTTTTTTACACATGTGACCAATGCCTGTACTCAGGAACATCTAGAACAGTTAATAAACAAATTACATGGATATGGGATCTGACCAACTGGTTTAGAATTCATCACAAGCATACCCATGTTGGGAAGCAGCTGTTTCTCTGGAAGGGGAGAGTGATGCTTCACAGCAGGAACACGAGAAGAGAATTACTCATATGACATCAATATGGCAGCACTTACAGAGAAGAGCTAAGAGCCATATGCCCCATATGAATTAATACTAGCATGTGTGGCTAGGAAGGAGGATATTCTTACATAAGATCATTAAAATGTCTCTGCTAGAGCAAAGCTATGGTTCACTCCTCCAATTTATTTTTTAAGAAAGTTTAAGGTGAACGCCACAGAGACATTTTTGTCTTCTCTAAAAACAACCTTGAAGATGAGAGCTTTGTTCCAGCTTCCCTGAATGAGTAATTTGATTATATTATTTAAATCTTGCCTCAGTAGTGTTTACAGTGTCTTTGGAAAAATTATTTAAACTCTCCAAGCCTCAATATCACCCTTCATAAAATGAGGATAATAAAATCTATCCCATTAAGACACTGCAAGAATTATTTTGAGACAATGCACATAAGACAGCAGTGTACCTGGCTCACAGTCAGTATTCAATAAATGATTTTGCCAACTTTCTCATACATTTGCCAATTCTTTCAAAATTTAATTTATACATCTTATGTACATCTTATGCATGTATCATTATATGTATATGTATATATTTGTATATCAACTCATGAAATTTCTAAAAGCAAGAAGCCACACTTTATTCACTCTTCCTGTTCTAGTGTTATTAGCGTTGTATCAACACCTATTTGGTACATGTAGCTGATTAATAAAATCCTCAAGTTAGTTTCTCTAAGTATGAAGCAACAATTTTTCTAAACTTGCCTGAAATATTTTAAAAAGGAGATGACTCATTTTTAGTTGGAATCACTGAAATTGCTATTCAAGAATTTATAGACCTCAGTTACATTCCATATCACCATACTATTTCAGATAGCAAATTGCTGGATCAGAATCAGAGGAATGATAGAAACTAAGATTTAGTTCCAACAATGTACTTCTCCAAACTGTTGTTTTGTGCAAGCTATTTGGTTTACATGATCAACATTTAAAAATGTTTTGGTTTACATGGTCAACGTTTAAACAAGAAAGGAAAGAGTAGGGCCATATGTTCTAAAGGCCCTCAGGCCCAATACAACCATAAATAAGATCACAAATGCAAGGTATTCACAGAAGCCCTCTGCTAATGACTGTGAAAGTCCTGCTGTGAGCAGTGTCTAGTTCCATATTCTTCCCGAGGCTGTAAAAAGCCAGAAATGCATACAACGTTTTCTGCTTCACTTCTAATAATTTTCCTGATGATGCCCAGTATTTCCTGGCCTTTTGGGATATAACCACACACCAGAGGAAATGAGGAGTAAATTCCAAATCTGTGATAACTGGAGACTTTCATTTGGATGTAGGCTCTAGATTTTTCAATCTCTGAAAGAAATGACCTTGTGCGTATCCATGATAAAAATCATATGCCATTTTTCTTCCCACTTGGACAATTTTATAAGCTCTTCCTTGAGTCTCTCCCAATTGCACAGCTTTTCTGATTGGAACAATTTAGTAACACCTGCTGATCTGGAGATGCTTTGTTTCTTCCCAATTCACATGAAAATGCTTAAAACGACAAGCAGAGAAGTGCAGTTTTATCAGTATTTTTAGATTCTCTTCTTGAAGACAAGATGACTACTATTTTAACTCTATCCTCAATCAATGACAATTTTAGTGTGAATTTTTCAAAAAAATTTTAAAAATTTAAGTAACTAGATATGTAGAGAGTAAAAGTAAATATTATTTATAGAAGGTTAAAGCTCATAAATATCTTCTAAGTACATTGTATTTATATAATGATCCTGATGTTTATGTCATTACTGTTACTACCAATGCATAAGATCACTAAATTTAAGGGGAAATGGATGTTTGATGCACTTATGCATATAATTTAAATAGAATATCATTGATCTGCACTGGATTGTATCTTGAGTTTCCATTTGCTACATTAGTGGTAGCGTAAGAATTTCAGAAAGTCACTTGGGAGACCTTTGATGAACTATAGGACTATAGGTATTAGTTGTTCCCAGTTCAGTCAATGACTTGAATATGATCTTGGGTATGGCGATGGATTTTTAGACAGAACACAAAAGCATGGTTCATTAAAGAAAACAAAAGACAAGCTTGATTTTATTAAAATAAAAAAAAATTCTGTTCTGTGAAAGATACTCTTAAGAGAATCTCAGGTCTTCAAGGTTAGGGTTTTTCCTTTTGATTTTCTCCAACTTGTATTCCACAAACAGCAAACAGGAGAGACTTACAACTAACTAAATCTTTGTTGTATTTAATAAGAGGGATATATTAGTGATTGCACACTATTTCAAAAATATTGTCCTCATCTCAACAGGTACAGGTTTGTAATAGTTAACCCCCCTTTAACATTATTGGGTTTCAATGCAGAAATAGCCAGTCCTGGCCCATCTAACATCTGCTTCTCTAGTGCCCTCTGGCAGTGCCATGAAAGAGATTGTAATAATCACAAATTCTCAATTTATAATTTCATTAGCTTTCTTGAAACAACTACTTTTATCACTCTGAAATAGCGTTATGTTCATTCTAAACTGGCCTTAAATTATTTATGGTACTGTATGGTATAGGGACGCCTGGGTGGCTCAGTCGGTTAAGCATCCGACTTTGGCTCAGGTCATGATCTCGCAGTTCATGAGTTCAAGCCCTGCGTCAGGTTCTGTGCTGACAGCTCAGAGCCTGGAACCTGTTTCAGATTCTGTGTCTCCCTCTCTCTCTGCCCCTCCCCAACTCATGCTCTGTCTCTCTGTCTCTCAAAAATAAATAAACATTAAAATAAATTTAAAAAAAGGACTGTATGCTACCTTCAAATTCAACAAAGACAGAAGTATATATATATATATATATATAT